TCTGTGTTAGCCTCTACCAAGACCTGAGGGAAATATCTTTCTCTTAAAGCAATTTAATTCTAGTCACTAGTTAGATAGTCGCATAAGTTACTTAACATAATAGGAGAAGCACAAACTAAGTCTAACTAGCTAGCTATCTGCTAAGTTAACTTTATTTGCTGTTTGTTGCTGGATTGCAGGTAAAGTAAGTTAAGATGAAACGCTTTATTTTTATCCAGTACACTTAAGACCAGTGCTTTTAATACTTTCTCACACTGAACAATCCTGGATTTCAAGAGTTGATTGGAGTTTACACTGCTTTCTAAAGATTTCATCGCTAAATCATTGTGCATTATGATATTAAATTACCATTAAGAAAGCAGACCCTTTTTTTTTTCTCCCCTAGGTTAGGATCTGGTGTGAAATTTGCTGTACTTTTTTAAGGCACAAAAGAAGAGGGTGCTGTTCTCCAGCAGCATTGTGATAATTGCATCATCAGTTGCAGTGAGGTTATGGGATTTCAACAAATTAGTGTGAATATTAGGGCTGCAACTAAGAGTATTTTCATTATTGAATAATCTGGCAATTATTTCCTTGATTAATCGGATTATAGTTTTCCCATACCATATCAGAAAAAGGAAATTCTATTAATCAGAATACAAGAATGTAAAATAAATTAGAAATCTTTATCAGTCAAATAAATATTACTACACTTGAAAAAAAAAAAGAATAAAAAAAGTAATAACTTGACTGAAGTAACATGCTCCAGGTTTAAAACGCTTAGTCTAACTTCACTGAATACCCTTAATTAAAATAAACTCAGATCAGGGGAAATGCAGGCTTTCCAAACATGACAAATGGATGTTGAAAAGTTTTGAGCAATTCCCATTTATGCAGTCCGCAGTCACTTGCTTTTCCCTCTCGTCCTCTACTTTTCCATTACACTGAGCGTGGCACTGCTCTTGGCCTTGCCGATGGTAAACTTCACCACCCCGCTCATGTCCACGCTGGTGTTTTTCAAGGTCAGTTTGTAGACCGTCCCATGGTTTTCCAGGCGGACGGAGGGGCCCGGCTGAAGGGTCTCTCCGTTCAGGGTCCAAACAGGAGGCTTGTTTATGGCGACAGACACCTCACACTGGAAAGATGCGGGCTCAGGCTCAGTTACCTCCTTATCCTCCAGCTCTTTGACCATTACAAGGGATTGGGCTGCAGCAATACAGAGGGAAAGAAGACATGTGTTGTCAAGGGAAAATACAAAAGAAGTTATTTTTTATCCATTAGTGTTAGCTCAAAACCCTAAACACTTGGTGGTTTTGTATGTTTTGGTAGTAAAGGTAATATTAAACTACTTAATTCACCTTTAATTTGTGGCTCCTTTAATGATGTTTGTTAAAAGACCTTCTCCCTCAACCCGACTTACCTTCCACCATCAGCTTGGCTTTGGACGTGTGCTCCCCAACCTCAACGCTGTAGGTGCCCTCATCCTCCACAGCCACCTGCTGGATCACCAGTTTAAGGGAGCAGCCGTCGGACAGGATCTCCACTCGATCTGAGGGAACTAGCTCCTCCTTGCCCTTGTACCAGGTGGCGGTGCAGCGTGGAGAGGAAACGGTGCATTCAAGGATCACGCGGTGTTTCTCTAGGGCTGTACGATCTCGCAGGGGTTTTACAATGGAAACGGGGAGTTCTAAAGTGAGAGGAAAATGTTTGAGATTTGGTACGGAACATTTTTAAGCTGTTATCGTGCCAAAAAATAAGCAAAAGTAAAAACTGACTTACCTTCTACCTCAAGGTAAGCTGTAGATTCAACATCCCTGGCTACGAAGCGGACCTCCCCAGCATCTTCAGCTGTGACGTTACACATCAGTAGGAAGTGTTTGGTCCCTGAAGGAAAACAGAGTTATCGAATCTATCTACATTGAAGCTGTTTTGGAGGCTTGTGGTGGTCCAACACCTTCCTAAGACACTTTATGTTGTTATATCCTTTGATCATCCACCTTTCTGGATGTTTTGCTTGTCTTTGGTCTCTACTCAACTATTTGCTATATGGCCACCAGAGGTCCTCCTACATACGGGTGTCACTAGTTTAGCAGCAGCTTTTTATTAACTTAGAAATTGCATTCACATTTTCCTAATTTTATTTTCATTTGTTATTTATTATTATTATTATTATTATTACCTTATGACATGTGATGCTGATCCTGATATTATTTATATTAAGTCTATATACTGTCATGTTTTCCTTTGAAATTTGCACTGTGTGCTCATTAATTAATTGCTTGCACCTGAGTCCACCTGCCTATTTAAAAGAGGTTGCACTGTGACAGTCACTGAGCTTCTACACTGAGGACGGGATTTGCTGTCTTACTGTCCCTACCATGTCTAGACATTCAACATAACAGATGTGCTGCATGAATTCACACCTTTGGTACAATTCTTACTCCGCTATGTTCTATTAAAGTGATAAATAATCAACCGTCTCCTCTTTTAACCTTCAGTGCGGATCTTGATGGTGCTAGTGGGCCGGATCTTGTGGCCGTCTTTGTACCACTCCCCAGTAACATCCTCCAAAGAAACCTCGCACATGAAGACAGCGTTCTGGTCCTCCTGAATGTAAAGGTCCTCCAGACCTTGCACCATCTCCAGCTTATGTTCTGTGAGGTTGGTAAAGAGATTTAGATCCGCAATATTAGAAACCAAAAACAGAAATATTATAAGCATCTTTCTTTGATTTGTTGACATATTAGACTGTTTTAGTCCACCAGTCTCTCATTCCAGCCTCTAGGTGGAGCTATATACTAAGCTCTGTTTCAGTGTCTGCACACACAACTCAACATGCAGCTTAGAAGAGTCCTGAAATCATAAATATATCAGCATTTTTATGAGATAACTTTGTTGTTTGAATAAGTTTACAATATTTAATTAACGTTCCGATACTTACCATAAACCTCCAGTGAGCAGGAAGTGTTGATTTCCCCTGTGTCACATGTGTAGGTGCCAGAGTCAGCCCGGGAGCACTGCATGATCTGACAGAACCGCTTCCGGCCCATGGAGTAGATCCGACAGTTCTTACCCGGCTTCAGCTCAGTCCCATTCTGATTCACAGAAGCAAAGGGACAGAGGTATTCCTCATGAGTCTAAAACACGTTGTCATCAAATTTTGCATGTTTCTACAATGAGCCATAGTTAAGAGCAATGAGAGCATTTATTGTTCTGTTTTACCTTAAGCCATCTGACGTCGATGTTTTGTCTGGAGAATTCACACTCCAGAGTGGCGGGAAATTCCTCCTCCACACAGACATCAGCTAGCGTTCTCAGGACAGATACCGGAGTCTCTGTCAGTTTAGCAAATCCAGTAAACGAGTCAATGAACCAACAAATCAATCAGTCAGTCATTAAATTAAATTTCTCTGTCTGTACTCGTTCACAATACATATTTTGAATCCAGAATTAAAATAAATAACTATAACCTAACTATATCAGTACAACAATCATCATAGGAAACACATTTTGTATTTTTTGACATGATTTCACTTATAGGAGTGTTACCTATGAGGTCCATGGCCCTCCACAGGTCTTAAAGGGGTTTCCCATTGTTCCACAGCAAAATGAATAATTATTTAATAACCAAATCAAATATATTATAATGTTTTCAATGGCCTAAAAAATAGTTTTAGAACCTGTGTCTTACAGTGCATCAAGTCTACTTTTTAAGTATTTCATGGCTCACAACAAATTGTGTCCTTATTCCATGCTGCACTACACCCACCAAGCTCCACAGGCCAGCATTTACCTTTGACATCGAGCCTGGCAGTTGTGCGCACCCCTTCAGCTGAGAAGACAATCGTGCCTGTGTCCTCTAGGGTGAGGTTGGACAGGGTGAGGCCATGGACTCGCCCATTGGTGCTCACCCGCCACTGGTTATTCGGTTTCACCCGGATGCCGTCCTTCTGCCAAATTCCCTCCACATCTGTGTGGGAGAGCTCCACCTCGAAGGAGGCAGTCTCTCGTTCAAAGGTTTCTTGGTCAGTTAAGCCTTTACGGATGGAGATTTTACGGGCTGGATTGAAGAGACGAGGGTGAGGAGTGTAGTGAAAGGAGTGTTTTATAAATACATATTATAATGGCATTTTTAGAAATGGTATCAAGATTAAATTATATTGTACAGATTAGTGTAACCAAGACCAAGTCAAGACCAAGACCAGAGTTTATCGAGACCGAGACAAGAACAAGACTTTTAGGGGCTGAGAGCAGCCGAGACCAAGACCCGAGGGAGGGCGAGACTGAGTCAAGACCAAGACCAGTTCCTTGCATTGCATGGCACGCAATAAAATGTGGAATGAGATAATAGGTACTTCACAAATTGATCTGAAAGATCCATTTTCCCATTAAAACACCCACATACAAACACTAAGAGCTGAAATCAACGTAAGCATCGCAGGGAGGGGTGGAATAAAGTTATTGGTTGCATTTGAAGCAATATTTTTTACCTCCAATCAAAGTTAGGATGTTAACAAATCAGACAATGCAAAAGCAATTTATTGATATTACCAAAGTTATGGTCTTGATTGGTCTTGAAATAAAATCCAGAGTCCTCAATGTCCGAGACCGAGACAAGACCGAGTGCAAATGCGTGCAAGACCGGTCTCGAGTACTACAACACTAGTACAGATATTCATATAAGATCGCATGTGAAGGATAATTCCTAAATCCTGGGAAAGATACTTTAAAAGCTGTAGGAAAATTTGGGAATGCAACATTTTGGCAAACATGCACATTGAATCACATATTTCTCATAACAACAACATTTTAAATATACCGCTAATCACACTTCTTTAAGGTTTAGCTAACCCTTTCACTTTAAATTGAGAGAACAAGGACAACAAAAGGTGGTTCAAATATAGACCCAGCTCAGTTTGTCGCATTAGAAAAACACCTACAGGAGCTCCATAGTCCATTGTCACAGTGTCATTCAGCACACTATTGTATAACAGAATGGCTGTGTTTCAAAAACCTTTTCACACTTACAGGTCTAGCACTGCTATTCTTAGTATCTTTTCGCACTGTGAAAAACACCTTCAATAAACTGTTCACTGAACTGTTTGCCCAGAATCATCTGTGTCAGAAGTGCTACACTACACTGACTCCTGACAGAAAATAAACTAATATATATATATAATATATATATATACTGTATATATGAAAGTCTATAGTTGTGAAGAGTGGACGGTTTCAGTCTGACTCCAAATATAAGGAGTCTTCAACCTCTACACCACCACTTACGTTCTACATTGAGCTTGACCTGTGTCCGGTCATGCAGAGTTTCGCAGCGATAGGTTCCTCGGTCCGACAGAGTCAGGTTGTAGATGGTCAGACTGCGTTTACAGCCGTTCTGGGCCAGCGTGTGTCGGGGACCTGGCTGGATGACCACACCTTGCCTCATCCACTGGACCTCTCCCGTCTCAAGGCTGATCTCTGTCTCCAAGGTGGCGTCACCGAACTCTTCTGCCATGACAGCCTCCATTTTTTTTGTAAACATGACCTGAGCCTCTGAACATAGCGAAGGGAGATGGAAATAACTGTTACAAAGAACTGCTGGTAATTCTGGTAACACTGTATCCTCTCTTTTCCGCTCTCTCTAAATGGACTTACCCTGAACTTTAAGGCTGGCTTTGCTTATTTGTCCCTCTGCCTCTGCTGTAATCTTCGAACAGTCCAACATCTGGCACTTCTTGATCACCAAGGTGTGGCACAGTCCGTTTTGGTTTGCCTGGAAACGATCGCCCAGGGTGATAGCCTCATTGTCCATGAGCCATACCAACTGGACATCCTCGGGGGAAACAACACACTTGAAGGTGGCATCTTCTCCTTCAAGTACAGTGGTGTTGTGGAGCTCTGTAAGGAACTCCACCACTCGAGGCACTGAAGAGACATGAGAAAGTTCATAAACCTGCTACTCACATAAGAAAAGGCAGAAAATCTGAGTGCCCTAAAACTTACTCTCTACTCTCAGCGTTGCCACAGTTCGGTCATCTCTGGACTCGCAGATGTACTCTCCAGCATCCTCTCTGGTTAAACGGTGAATGGTCAAGCTTCGCTCAACTCCATCTGCCCGAATGGAGAACCTTCTGCTTGGAACCACCTCCGCGCCATTCTTCAGCCATTGGACGTCTGCTTTTGGCTTGCACACCTCACAGCGAAGGGTCACCATACCGTCAGCATGGGCCACAGTGTCTCGGAGTTGCCTCACAAATTTGATTCTCATTTCTTTCACCAGCAAGCTGAAGTGGATCTGGTCCGTGTTGACATCGCAGGTGTACTCGCCAGCATCGGAGCGCCTCAAAGGCTCGATGGTAAGGGTGCGCTCATGGCCCTCCATGAGTGCTCGAAAACGTTCGCCTTCAAGAGCTGTCCAGTCTTTCAGCCAACGCACTAGAGCGTTTTCCTTGGACACATAGCTCGTCAAGGTGACGCTCTCAGCTTCGTAACCAGTCACGACAATGTCATCCTTCTTGTTCACAAACGTAACCGGGGGCTCTTTGATGGAAAGAGAAAGAGAGCCAAATTTGAGGTAATCTTGTTATCACATTGATAATCATATCTCTGGAGATATCCCTGTGAGTATTCACCTTGAATCCTCACAGTGCTGATCATCTTGTCGTCTACAGCATCACACACATATTTCCCAGAATCTGAGGGCTGGACATGTGAGATGATAATTTTTCTCAGAGTGCCGTAGCTCTCAATGCAGGTGCGGGAGTCATTTGTAAGTAGCCTGTCATTGCAGTACCACTGGACAGGGGCGTGGGAACGGGACACTTCACAGGCCAGGATCAGGTCGTCTCCTGCTACCATATCCTGGTAGTCAGCGTCATTTGAGTTGCCTACAATTGTCACTGGAGGCTCTAGGGCCAAGGGGAGGAGAAAGATGATTAATTATAGGAGCAGTTTTTAAACCATTTTTAATAATTTAATGAATGAAATTCTCTGAATTAAATTAATTCTACCTTCTACTGTAACCTGGAAGCTGATATTGTCATCTCCGGCATCAAGGAAATACTCCCCTGAGTCACCGAGTTCAGCGTTGAGGATGACCAGCGAGCGAAAAGCTCCTTCTTCCTCTTCACAGAACCTTTCATCGCCCTCAACACGACGGGTGCCCTTGTACCATTTGGCCAATGCATTGGCTCTGGAGAGCTCACACTCCAGCACAATGTCATCAGAAATCAGGAATTTAAGATTTGTCTTCATCTCTGACTTCCTTAGGATCTTCACTGGAGGCTCTGATAATGCAGAATTACGGATTCGCTTAATAGGACATGGTGGTCTTTAAAATTGCATTTTGGGACAGAATCTGTCTCCAAAGCTGACCTGATATTGCCTCTTACCTGAAACCTTGACCTGGAAATCTATTTCATCATCAACAGCGTCACAGGTGTATTTCCCAGAATCCTCTGGGCTGGGAGAGTGAATGGTCAGGCGATGGATGAGCCCGTCCTCTGTGATGGTGACATTACTGCTCTCCTCTATTTCACTGCCATTGAGCCACCACTTGACTTCAGCATTTGGCCGAGACGCTTCGATCTCCAGCACAATTGGTTTGCCGGCAAAACTTTCCAGTTTGTCAGGTGTGTTTTTGGGACGGGTAAGCCTCACGGGTGGCTCTTTAAAGGAAACAGAAAAGAGTCTTAAACATTTATAGAGCATCTGATTATCAAGGTGCTAAATAGTTACCCTTATGTCTTCAGTCTTACCTGTAATAGTCACCAGGAAGGCCACAGAGTCATCTTCAGTGTCACATACATACTCTCCTGTGTCGTCCACTGTGGTTATGGGTATAACCAGCCGGCGTTGGGCCCCATCCACCTCTAGCATCAAGTTAGGACCCTCCTCCACCTCCAGGCTGTCTCTGTACCACCGGACGGGGGCATCCACTTGTGAGATCTCACAGCTGAGCTCCAGCCTCTCGGGGGTCAAATGGGTCAGTTCCAACTCTGATTCGCTGGGGGAAATTATTCTTACCGGTGGCTCTAGTGTATGAAGAGGATAGTTAAATGTAACCTTTTAAATAATTTTGAGATTGCACACATTTTTATTAGATTTATGGTTTAGAAGTGAGCTCTGAGGGAAATTTCAGTCTTACCCTTGATAGCAAGTTGAAAAAAGACAGAGTCTCCGTCTGTTTCGCAGACATACTCTCCGCTGTCCTCCACTGAGCTGTTGAGGATAGTCAGTCTTCTGTAAGGACCCTCAGATATCAAATGGACATTGTCGCTTTTCTCCACCACCTGGCCGTCCTTGAACCACCGCACTGTCCCACTGGAACGAGACAATTCGCACTGCAGGCCTACCTCCTCTGAGATATATCGCTCCATCACAATATCATCCTTAGGTTCCACAATCATCACTGGAGGCTCTGTGTTTGTAGATGCAGGAAGCAAAGTGATGTCAGAGTGTAAAAATCTCTTTAACTTTCATGAATTAAGAGAGATGTTCTGCACTCGGTTCACTAGCAAATATATGTCTTTAAACACTACTCTGACCGTCAGCAGTCAGAAAGGTCCCTATACCTCTGACATTGACGATAAACTCCACGCTATTGTTTCCTGCCTGGCAGGTGTAGCTGCCAGCATCTGAGGTCTCTGCAGAGCGGATGATCAGCCTCCTCATGGTTCCCTCTGCCTGCAGAGTGATGTTGTCACTGGGCTGGATCTCACAGCCGTCCTTATACCTGGGACACACCAAATCGGACACAAATAGCATCTCAAATAACAAATTGCATGCAAAATGATACATTTGAAAACTATACTGTACAGAGGTAGAACAATCCCAAATGATGGTATGGTACAGTATGTTATGGGGCAATTGTGCCCTCGAAATGCACCAATTTCCAACACAACACAATTATCTCAGATTTAGCTGGCTTTTTAGGATATCCATGTTCGTATTTCATGAATAAACAAATTATCCTTTTCATATGATTCATCATTTGAAGCCTCACAGTGCAGTGATCAGTGATAATTGATGACCACATGTGAAAAACAACACTTAAAAAAACAGAATCATTAAATGAATTTGGAAATGGCACATAATTCGAAACAGCTGTTGATCATTTTTCAACAGGAATTCACTCCTCATCGTCTTACCAGATGACTTTGGCATCCTCTGTGGAGACATGACAGAGCAGCACCACGGGGTCCAGCTCCATGCTGCTCTTATGGAGCTCCTCCTCTGGGATTGGACTGAACTCCACCGGACGACCTGACATTAACACGCAGAGGAGGGTGGGATGGATGTCAGCAGCAGGAACACAAGGTACAAGAGGATGAGCTTGCCTCCTTAGAAATATTCTAACTACAATTTAGTTGAATTTAATTAACCAAACAAAGGTTTTGGTTTGCTGTACAACAAGTACATATCAACTTCTACAACTGCTGTGTTTCTTTCCATTGTTGATTAATCTATCAATATTTTTTAGTTCAATTGATCTATTAATTGTTTAGTCTAGAAAAGGTAAAAAAAAATAAAAATAAATAAACGTCAGTAAATGATCCCAGAGCCAAAGGTCACAATTTCATATTATTGCTTATTAAATATGTGATATAAAAATTAGAAAAGCACATTTGAGATCAAATAATTATTAACACTCAATTCATTATAAAAAGAAGTAAAACAATGTACTAATTTGACTAAATTAAATTTTTATAGTTACACGATGTGAATGAGCAACTTAATTCCTAAATATATCCAAGGGCCTGAAATTATTCAGTTTTTAAAAAGCATTTTACCTGCAATGTCCACGTTGAATTTGATGACATCTCCAGAAGTTTCACATGTATAAACTCCAGAGTGAGATGCATCAGCTGACTGAATCACAATCCGCCTCATGTTCCCATCTGATTGGATGTTGAGGCCCTCGGTCACCTGGAGCTCCTCGCCATCTTTAAACCAGGATACTTTTGCATGGGGGTGGGAGACTTCACAGTAGAGAACAATAGCATCACCAATGTCCACCTTCTTATTGCTGTCCATATCTGACAGAGGACTGAATTTTATCACAGCAGCTGCAGAGAAATAAACACAAAAAATAATCAACTCCCAAAAAATGCTTCCACCACATTCTAGATTTAACAAAAATAACAGATTTAGACACCTACGTTTAACCTTAAGCATGGCAGAATCCCGGACTCCATTTGCTATGAATGTGACCTCCGCCTGGTCATCTATAGTGCGAGTTTCACGGATAACCAATGTGTGCTTTGTTTGGGACTGTTGTATAGAATATCGTCCACCGTGCTGTAGTTGAGCGCTATTCAGAAACCAGGTTCCAACCATTGTGGCAGATAATTCAATGGAGAAGTGAGCATCTTCTCCTTCCACAACCTCACAGCCTTCAAGGCAACTGTGAATCTTGGGCCCAGGCACTAAGGAAAATTACAAAGTTAACAAAACATTCAGTGTTCTTTCAACATACAAAACCACCTTTAACCACAACTAATAAGCCACTGATATACTGTTAGAGCTTGTCCAACACTGTCCCTCTTCACTGAGGCAGGATAGTTTTATAATCATTAATAGATTAGGGTCGTGGGGGGCTGGAGCCAATTCCAGCTTACATTGGGCGAAAGGTGGGGTACACCCTGGACAGGTCACCAGTCCATCACAGGGCCCCACATCACAGAAAGGGTTTGAACCCACGACCTTCTTGCTGTGAGGCGACAGTGCTAACCACTGCACCACCATGCCGCCCAGTCAGAGCAAGTATCAAGTGAAATACATAGAATAACACACTTGCAATTCTACTTCACAGTAAGTTCCTCACCCAGATGGACAGCTTTGGAAAACTCCACGTGGCCACTTCGCCCATACTTGTTGATGCAACAGACACGGAACCGGTAGTCGCCTTCACATGGCACGCTGTCGCTGCCGACCTCAGCTGAAGTGGCGTTCTCCGAGGTGAAACACTTCTGCCACTCTTGGGAGCCCACTTCCTGTCTCTCAACGACAAAGATGGACCGGGTGGAGGTCTGACTGTTGGGGGCAGGAACCCAGGTGAGCAGGGCGCTGTTGGGTCGATCCACGTCAATTTTGACGCCCACGGGGCAGATGGGAGGGCAATGTCTTGTGGCTAAAAGAGGGAAAGGACAAATAATGTAATGGGTATGACTGATTATGCCAGACTGGTTGTTAGAGAGGGCATCCACTATCAATTCCAAATACTTTCAAACCATCATACAGTTGATTTAAGTCTAGGTATTCAAAAGACAATCAACAGTTGAATTAATAATAAATCAATTATCTTTATCTCAGAAACTAGCTTAAAATCTTTTGCAAACCAATTTTGTAAACTCTCAAACAAACATGTATGTTAGTGTTTACTAAATGTACCTTTGACCTTGAGACGTGATGAGGTCTTGGATCTTCCTGCAACAAAGGTCACTACCCCTGAGTCATGATAGGCCACGTTGACAAAGACCAGAATGTGGGTTTTGCCAAAAGATTTCAGGATCGTCTGGTGAGTCTCGTGTAGCTTCAAACCATCTTTGAACCAGTGGATCTCCATGTCGTCGTTCTCCACCTCCACGCAGAACACAGCGTTCTCACCCTCCAGGACCTCCAGCTTCCGGGGAAGTTTACGAACAATAGTACCTGTAAGTAGGAAAGTGATTTTATTTACGTTCAGTTGCACTGTAGAACATGTTTTGCGCTTAACGTTTTGTTCCACTTGTGCTCACCATTTATTAAGCTGATACATTTGTCAAATGGTAAAGAATTTTTTATGGTAAGCTTAAAAGCTTTTTTCTCTATTGCTAACCCAAAGATGGTGTACATTCAAATCTTTACTGCAGAAGCTTCAAAACTAATCTACGCATGGCAAGTGTTACTGTCTTATCACACATGATAAATAACGTTTATTTTACAAATCTGAAACCCTACATACCCAAATTCTGCACAACATACCTTTAACTGAAAGCTCTGCAATGCTCTTTCCTCCATCTGGCATCTCACAGAGATACACTCCATCGTCGTCTGTCCCAACATCATGGATGGTCAGTCTTCGTCGGGTTCCTTTCTGCTCCATTCCGTATTTGCTGCTGGGCATCAGTCGCTGGTCCTCCAGGTACCAGGCAGATGGGACCGACTCATCAGGTACCTCACACTCCAGCACGGCAACATCCCTCTCCCTCACCTCTACGTCTTTTAATGGACGCCTGAACCGCACAGCTGGGCCTGAAGAACGAGGGAAATGGATATTTATGTTTTTAACAGTTGTCTAATTGGGCTTGTAATAGTAATAACATGATGAGCATACTTAGTTGTATGTCATGGCTTAAATTAACAAAACAAATATACGTTCAGACAGTAGGGATTATTAAAACACATAGCTGTTTTGCAGTACTATAGTAATAACAGCAAATTTAGGTGAGGTATTTCAATTGATTTGAACTTTTACTGCATTAAGTTTGACTTAGACTGTCTTGCTGTGGCAATATGGAACACGTTCATTGCCCAGGCAGTAGCCCTCATATAAAGAAAAAATGACTAGAAACAAAAAACTCTCTTTCCAAAATAACACATTCACCCTTTGAAAACACCCATTTGAAATAATTATTAGAATGTGTTGGATTGGTGTATATGTGCATTTTATTTGTCGGATAATTACCTGTATTTTATTCCAAACCACTTCCTATTTGTGTTTACACATTTGAATCTCTCATGCCACCACTGAAAACTATAGTGCTCAGTTATTATAATGCCACTCCATATTATCTGTATATTAAGGACTTGTGCATTGACCCCAAGACTAAATTGACTCTCACAATAGAGCCAGCTGGCACAGTGCAGGACTGCACATATAAAAAGGTATGTGACCCTGGTAATTATCTGTCCATTATGAAGGGATTAGGACAAAATAATTAGCCACTTTAAAAAGGTGATGCCATGCATTTCAATGACGCACACAAAGCAATTAGCCTGCACAAGTGCAGCTTACACCTTATTGTTTTATATATGATGCTAGATACATCAGTGACACAATGAGTATTTCATTTGGGACGTTAGTTGTTTATTGAAACTGGCACAGAATCTTTTGAAACGTGTTGTGTTCTTTGCTCTTGGCGTTGTTGGCATGATGAGGGCTATGACTTTGGTTAAGCATCATTATTTGCAAGTTTGAATCTTTGAGACGATACATTTTAGATCATTCACTTTCTATTGTTAATTGTATTTGTGTGGTTTTCCTTTCATCTATCAATCCATTGGCGTTTTGAACCATTTTAAAGATGTCACATTAAGAAATCTGTGTTTAGCCAGTTATAATTGCAGGAAAAGCAGGGATATATCTCCTACCTTTGACGGTCAGGTGAACGGCACTGAGGGTGTTTCCAAGAGCGTTTGATGCTGCACACACATACAGTCCTGTATCTTGCACTTTACAGTACAGAACCTTCAGAGTGTAGTAACCCTCTCTGTCCTCAAATATCAGATGACGCCTCCCTGGCTCCAGGGGAACTCCGTCTTTCTTCCAAATGATCTCTGGCTTCGGCTTCCCTGTCACAAAGCAGCGAAACTTAGCGTGTTTCCCCTCTGCCACTGCAAACTTCTTGGCTTTAGAAGCGCTGACAGGTAGCTCGTCTGTAACCCTCAACAAACTGAGCCTCCCGCCCCTGTGCTTTGGTGACCACTGGCTGTTAGTGTGACCATTTGAGGACTTTTTACTGTCCTCTCGCTCTGGTACAGGCTCGACAAGAAGGACAGCGCCGGCCAAGGCCTCACCATGGCAGTTGATGGCTTTGCAGGTGTAGACGCCTTTATCTGGCATGCGTGATCTGTAGATCTTGAGCTGGAACCAGCCTCCATCTTGATTGCTCACATTGAAGTGTGTGCTCTCGAAGATGTCGCCCAGCTTCTTCCCGTCCTTCTCCCATGTTACCTCAGGCAGAGGAGTGCCCCAGATTTTGCAGGAGAAGGCGGCATCTTCTCCTCGATCCACGCGCAGAGAGAGGGGCTTGATGAGGAATCGCGGTTTGTCCTCAGACGTTAAATCAACTTCTTCTCGTTTTTCACTAAACTTGCCGTTCCATTTGTGCTCTCCATTCAGTCCCTCTCCATTTTCTCTCCTGCATTCACCATTTTGCACTGTGCAGTGGCCATTCAGGTGTCCTTCGCGTTCTCCATGTTCTTTCATTGGTTGCTTCACACCATTGACCCCTAATTGCCTTTGTCCCCCTTCCTGTGGCTGGGCCTCTCCTTCCACTTTGAGGGAGGCTGCTGCATACGTTTCACCTATGCTATTTCTGGCCTTGCAAATATACTGGCCAGCATCCTGCAGGGTCACTCCAGTAATAGTCAGCAGGTAAGCTTTACCCTCTTCAGAGAGCTTGTAGCGTCCATCAGACAAGATCTGGACATTTTTGCGCTCCCAGATCACATCAGGACGAGGGTCCCCGTCGATTTGGCACCTCAGAGTGGCATCTGTGCCACACAGTGCCATCACAGGGCGTGGGTAGCCTAAAATATGAGGAGCCCCTCCAAAAATATCCATGATGATGTCAAACTATCTTTGGTTTGAATGAAGCAATTTGTTTTGTTGCAGGATTGCCTTGATGAGAGCCTCTTATCTTTGGTGAAGGAGCTGTAAGATAACGAAAATGTGTATTTCATTAACAGTCACTTTCATTGGAAACAAATGATCAAACAGTACATTTGCAGAGCTTGCCAAGACCTTTTAACTAGACACAAAGCCAGTCTGGACACTCAAAGGCAACAGTTTTCTTGCCTTTATTGTTGTGACACATTGTCCTCTGTACATTTCTGTTAATACCTGACCCGAACCAGAAAATAACAAGTAAAATATAATATATATTTTTGAGACAAAATCTGGAATGTGCTTTAAAATATACTCTTTATGATAAGGAAGCTCATTTAGATGACTTGATGCAGAGAGGAGCGCATTAAAATGTTTCAAACTTCCAAAATACTTTGTGTAGTTACCAAGGCTTAACTGAGATTTAGTAAAGTGTTTATCACATGCTCGGTGGTTTAGTAAAGTAGGTTTTGAGCAAACATAAACCACTCCCGGTTGTCACCCAGCTGGTGCTGTAACTCATTGAAGAGTGTATTTATAAGTGTAAGGAGACTGTCCAAAAAAAGATACCAGAGAGCATGTGCCTCATAGCACAAAAACTGTTACACACCTGCAGTCACTAAGACAAAATGCAGTCATTAGTATATGTGTGTCAGCTGCATCCCTGCTGATGAATTGTCTTTGTCTGAATAGTTGCATTGTTGTGATGTCCCAAGTCATTATTTAATTCGTCTTTCTTGATAAAGACATTTTGAATTATGGTTTGATCTTTTAGCAGCCAATGGAAAACATTAGTCTCTATCATATGGCTCATTTGTTTCCCTCATGTTGTCACCATCTTTCTTGACTTGTTTGACTTGTAACTGTCCCTGCTGTATGATGCACACACTCCCCCATCTGATGCACATCCTCTAAAACAGCGTAGATTGCGTAGTCATGTTTTCACGTAGAAAATAGCTCTTCGGGTAGCATGTCAGTTATTTCTAAATCAGTAAAGATGTGAAAAACACACAGCTACTCATTGAGCCTTTTGATAGAACATGGATAGAAATGATTCTACTTAAGCAGGCCTGAATGTCAAGAAGCAGTGCCAAGAGAGACATATACAGTAAGAGAGGAAATGAACATAGTGTAGTTAGTAAAATTCTTCCTTTTCTAATTTTATAGATTAAAGGACAGTCAAAGGATGTACTTACCACTACCATGAGTCACACTCTTTATAGCATCCTGTCACTATTGGGATGTTTACTTAAAAATGATGTCCTCAAAACGTTCAAGCTGGCATTAGTTAATTCAAATGACCTTTGGGCTGTTTTTAAAATAATTCTTTGACTCGTAGAGTTGGTAGGTATTCCTTCTGTTGCTCTGTAGAACAGTCATGAAGCTCTGCGAGACTCCTCAGTTCTTGTTCCTTGTCACTCTGGTTTGGTTTGTTGTTTGTGGATCCTGGCTCACATTTGACACACCTCCTGATCACTGAGAGAAAAATTTAATCTTCCATTCAAACTTGTAGGCCCATAGTCACAGGTATCATATCTCGGTTGTGTCCCCTTGGTTTGGCTTTAGGTTGCAGGTGGCAGAGAGGGAAATGACCACAGTCTTTCAGTCAAGTGCTTGGTTTATACGTCAGCTCTGATACTGTCATTGTCCAACAGCTAAAGAGTGAGAGAGATGAAGTTGGGATGGGGGTTGGGGGGCATTAAATGCTTTTGCAGCTGCTACCAGTGCAAGCCATCCTCTAAAAATAACAGCAGCTTCGATGACAGTGGGCCAGATAAAGTTAGGCCCTCCATTCACAGACCGTGGCTCACTAAAGATAGAGGGGAGGCCGAGCTCTGCGATGGATCACTCAGCTCAACAGATATCCTGAGTTAAACCTCAGAAGAGAACGGACACCCCACCTGCTGGAGCTCCTCGAGTCCTGAGTCATGCTGACCCATAAAGAGTCTCATCAGTATTACAAGAGGATTTATATGGAGCAGTGATCTAAAGATTGAACAGAAGCAAAGACTTTTACTAAATGTTTTAAGATTGTATTACAGACATGCGCACAACATAGTTACGTCACGTTTGACAGGCCCCCAACTGCTGTGTGAAAAGATTTACTGTGGAAATAGATTATCTAACTTTTCAATACCTTTCCAGTCCGTATAAACAGTGATGCATTTTCAAAGTCCTAACCCTAATTTCTAAGAGATAGATAGTTAGGTTTGCTGTAGATAGACTAGAAATAGAGACAATTTTGAAGACTATTTAAAAAAAGCCAAAAACATTTGGGAACCACTAGTCTGTAAAATCTGTAATTTTAGAGCATAGATATTTACTCCCATCAAAATGTCTTTCAGGGGCCCTGAGACCTTGAGGACTATGTCAGTGGTTCAGTTAGAGATAATTTGAATTAGAAATAAAGAAATCTATTGTTTCCCTTAAATTAGCATAATAAGATTTTCAATACTCTAAGCCAGGGGTTTTCAAAGTCTGAGACTATTAGTTTCTGAATCTGATGTGGACAAAAACAGTTCCCAAAAACTAATGTATCTCTTAACTCTCACACATAGGCTATTCTATGTGATCTCCTTTCAATAACGCAATAAGTAATGTAATATTGTTTCACTTCCATTCACTGAGCCTCCCCTGAAACTGTTTGGAGCCCACCGAGGAAGGCCCGCCTCACACTTTGAAAACCTCTGCTCTAAGCAATGGTTAATAACTTTTCAAAACCCAACATACGAGATAATAAGATTATTATTTTTGAAGGTTACACGGTTGCTAAGCAAAAACCTTCCAATTGAAATGGTAAACTGGACCTTTGGATGCTAAAAGCTCAGATACTTAAACAGTTCATAAAATCAAAAGTGATTTGCAATTTGGGAAAGTGCATGTAGCAGTGGCTGGTAGTACACAAGGGCATGTTTAGGATACACAAAGGTTAGACTTGTGCAAGCATCTGCCTCTGTGCAAGCTGAGACTGTTCGCAGTGATATATGGGAACTGATAAGGGACAGATTGCCCAAGTGTTGGAAGCATTTAAGCCCATTAGGATCTGGCAAGTGAAGTCCTCACTATCAAGGTGTTAGGAAGCAGTTTTAATGTCTCATCAGCATTTCTATACAAGAAGGATTAAAACAGCACTCCCTTAAATTCAGCTACTTATAATAAACTAATAATGCAGGTCTGGTCAGGTTGCTGTAAAATTCAACTGGTTATAAATGAATAGAAAAACAAGTGAAACATGGATGGAGACCATGAATGATACAGGATTCCTTTGGGTTCAGTGTCTTTACACAGTAAACATCAAAACTGGATGAGTTGTCTGTTGAGTCTATAATGTATGCATTAAACATTGAAGATAGATGGACAGTAAGCCGAAGTCTCTAAAAATCTGTTGTTTTTTATTTCCCACAGCAAGTACCTGTACTTAACGCAGTTAACAATGACCTCCCACCGCAACAGATTTGAATCCGGTGTTGACACTTGTCGCCTGCATTCTCAGACAGTAGCTTTCTAAATTATCTCTTCATGTGGAGTGTTTTGGACAGCCAAAGCCACTGTCGTCATAGATATTTGACCTTCAGTGCGGGTCGCATAGTTTCGTTCCCTTTGTGACGGTTGCTGACTGAATGCTCTTTGCATATCATCTCAAACATAGATGTACTTAAAGACAAGAATAATCAGGAGAAATGAACTGATATTGAGTCATTTTAAACTTAAAAGAAACAAACAACCTACGCTAACAAGCATGTGCCAGCAAACACTTTGCTAAATGAATAGCAGAGTCATTTGGAGGACTCACACCCTCACACTAGTGGCTCCATTTAAGACTGCTGGTACCTCCTGACATTCTCATCCATCCAGTCATCCCTGCAGCTGTTAGGTACAATGACCGCACCAGGAATGAGAAGCACAGTGCTGCTCTTTGTCCTGAGATTGGGTTTCAATATCAAAAGCTGAATAGGATTGACAGAATGCAGGCTTCTTAACAGGATGTCAGTCAACCCCGTTTCAAATCAAGGAAACCCTTTTCAGCTTAATCAAGCGCCTCTTCACCCGCTTTCCACTAATGATCAAACCATGTAGCTTTACATGTGTTTGCTCTATTTTTTATTTTATATTTTATGTTTTTTTATATTTTATTTATTTTAAGTTTCAGAACAAAACAAAAGTGCTGCATGTGTAAGCCATTTTCATCATTGCCTAGAGACAAATATACAGCACTCGACACCTAAAATTAATTCTCAGTTTGATGATTAAAGGATAGATAGAACACCCCTGGATCTAATCATTATTTATCTGCTCTTGGCTTTGTAATTGTTTACATACTGGTGTTAAATGTAAAGTTAGCTAATGTGGCTTTAAAGGCATCCAGGTGTTTAGCTGACTGAGAGGCGTGTCTCTTGTCAAGTCTGTGCTTTTCAAACAAGCTGGATTGAGATCCACCCTCCTGCCACTGTAGTGAAATTACAGCTGGGGAAAAAAACTTGGAAGAAAAACACAACTCACTTCCACCAGGATATTTCTTTTGCTTGTAGATGGATTGCTGTAGGTCCAAGTTGGTCTCCAGATGATGATCAGCCTGGTGAGAATCAGGATTTAGTTTGAGGATGAAAATTAAAATTAAAATCCTTGGACCCTGATTACAAGCCACACCCCCCACAGATGTTCATGTGTATAGGTGTAACTGTCTTGCACAGTGTTGTCCAATAGATGGAGCTAGAGATTTGTTTTAAGAGTAGGTACAAAAACAACTTAAACTCCACAGGTTTAGTCACCTCCCTAAATGAGGAAGGCAGGAGAATTTTCATCAGTGAAGCATTTCATTATTTCCCAAGTGTTAAGTGCTCATGTTGAAAACAATTATAAGAGCTGACGTCCAGATTTAGCTTATTGTTATCTTGTTGTTGTCTTATTGTTAACTAAACTGAATAAAAAAATGATTTAAAATAGAGATGAATCATTTTGCCAATAAAAGACTTAAGTGACCAGTTAAGAAGAAGCATAATTCAATTTAAACCAAGGGAAGTCAGGTTACATTCTTTCAAATAATGGTGTCTTATAGTAGCACTCAAATCTTCATTTGCATAAATTCACTTTTTGCTGGAAAATTGCTACTTGTGATTATGATCTTATCAAGTGGGAAATTCTGGCTTTTTTTATTGGAAATCTGGGAAAGCATTTCAGTCCCAGGCTGTCAACGTTTATGACCCCAGAGACTGGAAGGAGCGTGTTAAAACGCACATACACACATGAGGGCAGGACCCCATCCCTCCATCCCAACCTCATGAAAGAGAAGAATGAATGTATATTAAGAAGAAAAAGGGGAGCTAAGAGAGGTGGTAGATGATAGAGACGTGCAGAGAGAAAACGAAAGATCAAACATTTTTTGTCAGGTGACCTCTGACATTTTAGCTCCTCCCCCTTCTCCCTGCAACCTGCAGGCATGCTGGGAGAAACAACAAGGGATTCTGGGAAAGACAGGAGGAGGGCTTTTTTAAAATATAAACAACATCTGTGTGCATGTGCGCAAGGAAGATAGAGGAGCGCATGTATCATGCACAAGATTTTTCATTTTATTTTAGTAGTATTATTAGATTTTTTTTCTCCTGATAATAATTTTAGCTCTGACATTTGTCCCAGATTTAGTCATACTTCAGGCTGTGGCACTGAAATTTTCATTGTTGTAAACAAGGTGTGAAACTGACATTTTCAAGCTGTGGACACAGGGTGTTCATGGGGTATTGCAGCTACACCTAATAAAATCAAACAATCTGTAAAATAATGATTGAGTGAATTAAAATTGTACTTATATTTCTAGTTATTTCTATCTTCTAGTTATTTGAGGTGTAGGATACATACATGTTGTCAAGAAATCCCATGAAAAGACAAAGAAAAAAACAACACTGAATAGATTCTTCTATGTATTGTCTTTGTGTCTAAAGCCTGATGCAGCTTACTGGTGAGTGATTAATCAATATTTTACATTTTAAGCATTATTTCAACAAACAAGTATTTTGTTTGCTCTTGTTGATAAAATCACCAGACTGGCAGCGAAGTGACGTGGGTCTTATTTTCCGACCAAAAGGCTGGAGTGCTGCTGTTGTTGGTCATTGACCACAACAAAAACGAGGCCCTGAATATACATTAATGTGTGGCTGACAATGTTTGCGTAAAATTTTAAAACTACTGTGCTCAGCTGTTTTTGGAAATGACTACATAGTTGACTGAGCAATCTGACCTCGCATGATCTTTATCATGCAAGGTCGATAGATGTTTTGGTGATGATGATTTAAATGATTTAAATTTTTTTCCACATGAAAGATCTCTTAACATTGGCTTAACATTTAAGGTGTCAGAGTTCATTCTATTCCAGGGGTATTCAAACTGAAATTCAGAGGTTCTGTTTGAGAAAAATTCCCGAAGCAAAGATCCAGATCATAACAACTAACTTGCCTTACCATTCATTGCCATAGCGTATAGTTGTATCACCATATGTTTTTAGTCAACAATTGACTGTCAGTTTTCACATCAAACTGGAGGGATAGTAAATAACTACTTTAATAATACATTTTAAATTTAAGTAAACTAAAATCAAGTGCTTAATTTTATAAAAAATGTAAAAAAAGTGTACCTTAAAGTGAAGT